ACATCAGAAATATACAAAATCCAGCAAGAACCAATTGCAAAATATGACATACAGAAAATCCTACCGCAACAATATAAAACATTCATAATAGAGTCACTACGTGACCCAGAAATTCTACTTTTGGCTACATACCCAAAATAATATATATATATATATATATAAAATATATATATATATCTCCATCCATTCTCATCCACCCCCAGCAATCAGTGTCCCCACTAGGACAATGAGCCTCTATTTCCTGCTCCTGCTAGGGGACTGCTCAGATATTTCTTCTACCAAAGGTTCTCACTGGGCCTGGAATTCCCACCTGATGAGGAAAGGTGCTTTCTGGGGGGGCTGCTCACCTGTGTATTACTGCTCCTTTCGGATGGGGTACTCAGGAGTTCCCGGATGAGTTCTCTTCAGTTTGTTACTAAATAACTTGGCTTACTCATCGCCCCTGGCCAATGAGGGGTAAAGAGTTCACCTGTGTGGGGATGCAGGGGGAGCAGGCGCAGTGATGGCTGTTTATGGGCATTTTCAAGAGTCACAGAAGCGTGGCCGCCCTACATGTTGTGCCTGGATGGAACTCTTGACCCCCACTCAAGTCACAAAACCAGGTGCAGATACTGGACCTGGGCAGGCAAGCATTTGGGCAGGCTGATCGGGGAGTGGATGGTGCCCAGGTGAACGTAGCAAGTCGCAGGCAAACAAACACTTGCTGCATTTTGAGGCCTTGGTTCCCAGAGCCCAAATGGGAACCAGCAGCCTCTTCAGCAAGCTCCCTCCTTTGGACAAAAGTTCAAAATACCCCCTCCCCATCTCTGCCGCTTACTTCTGGTGAAGCCTGGATCCCTCAGCCATGTTGGTAAAATTAAAGGTCCTAGAACAGAACCCTAATAAGGTCTGAGGATGCCCAAGTAGCATGGAGCCAGAAAACTCAGGTACTCACAAGCTCCCAGCCCTGCCGCTGAAACCACAGCTGGCAGACACTGGTCTTATTAATATGGGGGAAGGAAGTTTCCCAGGGAGAGTAGTTAATGCTTGCAGAGATGCTATCATTGGAGGGGGTTATGAGGGCCCTGTTTCAAGTCAGTTCATGTCAACATGACGTTGACTGATGGCGGAGAATTCTACCCTGCACGCAAGTCCCAGAGGTCGTTAAGTTACCTGGAGCTCTGCACTGAGAGGATCAGAGCACACCTGGGCTGGCAGGAAAGGGTGTCTGTGTGGGTAATGGGGGTGCGCTCCTGGCCTGTCACCCCCTGCCCCACTGGACACAGTGAACCCTCTCCATGCACTCCCTTTAATGATCATTTCTCTTGGTTCCAGGTGTTTTCCTACGTAGCTACTCTGCTGTACGTGGTCCACGCAGTGTTTTCTTTAATCAGATGGAAGTCTTCATAATGCAGCAGAAGAACTTGAGCTGAAGACCCAGACGATGTTAACTGATTGGCCCACCTACTGGCATAACTTTTTAGACCACAGAAATCCTCTCAATGGTGGAAAAAAGAAAACAACCCCCCCTCCCCAATAGCCATGTTCTGTTCCTATTCTATTTAACTTCCAATTACTGTGCTGTCTTTCTAGGGTCTCTTCCTATTTGCAAAAGGGGGCCTTTTTGTCTGGGGGTGGGACGTGGGGACTGTGATCTGAGAGGGAAACGGAGATCCCCTGCTGAGCCCTGGACCGGATCTTGAGAACTGCCTATTGGAATGTTCCACGGGCTCTTTGAGCACCCCATCTTGTGGCGTGTTTCTAAGTTTTTGTGGATATTCTGGTGTCATGGGGACGAAGGTGTACCCAACAGATATTTCCAGATGTCCATGGTGGAAGATGATAACCCTTGGAAATACTTTATAAAGTGCCTTTATGTTCAATACTTTTGTGGGGTGTTTTGGTTTTAAATTCCCCAGAATCAGAGTACCATCCTCTCAGCTTTCTGAGGGATCCTTTGACTTAACCTGAATCTCAAGAGGCAGCATCCAGTGGCCATTCAGATGATGCTGTGTTTGCTGGACCACTGCCCTCTCAGAGCTCAGCTGAGCCACCCACCCAGCTATGTTCTCCTGATGGCTTTCCTGTCCCTAGGCTGCCCAGTGCCAGCCTAGGGGCCCTCTCCACTTTCCTACCAGACACAGTGGTCTGTGCCCATTTAGAATTTCCCTAACCCAAAAGAAAACAAGGTGCAAAAGTTTCCACTCACACTTTCTTTGTACAGCTGATCAGAAATGATCTGGACAGTGTATGCTCTGTGCTCTGTTCCAATTAGTGATGTGGATTACAAATTGTTTGTTAGAATTTCCTTGGGCCACTCCACAGGAGAGGAAAGGGACCAGACCACAGAGCGAAAGGAAGTACAGTGACAAGTGGTAAATACCACATCTCAAGTTTGAACAGATGATTAGGAATCTTGGGAAGCCCTGCTGCCCTGTTATGAAGTGTTCCTTTAACTCATGTCTCAAAGAAGCTAATGACATTCCAGAGAGGAATGCCAGGGAATCACCAGCTCTGGTGCCTCAAAGACCTCTCAGTTCCCAGAGCCTTGGAGGTGTGAGGGTAGAGGTGGCACTGCCTCCTGCCTGTGGCAGTGGAGAGCAAAGATTCAAGCCTCAGGTGGAGGGTTTAGCTAGGTGGCATCTTAGTGCCTTTCTTTCCAACTTGGAGATCTTGCAACTAAATTGGATTTAAGTGGGATGAGCAGGAGGTCCTTTGTTATCCCGAAGTAACTGGCAAGAGCAACCAGCTACTTTTAGGAAGTCCACTTAAAATAGCCAAAATTCCACAGTAAATTATGAGCAAAAGGTTTGATTGGGGCTTTATCCTGCAAAATTAAACTACAAATTGAGAAATGATAGGAAATTTGTCACATATTTACCAAAATGTGCAATTAAGTATTGGTTGACATAAGTCTCATTTTTTTCAACAAAACTTCCCAATCACATTCTAAGAAGTCAACCACACAAATGCTAATGTGGCTTACTTTTGACTCCCATGGGAGGGAGGGGAAAGAAAGAGAAAGAAATGGGAGACGTAGCTTCCCAAGGATTTCTCAGTGTTTTGAAATTTCTATGGCTCTTTTTAAGGAAACTTTCATTTAAACTTTATTCTCTCTTTTTCAGTGGCAAATTGATCTAGCTATAAAATCTTTATTAGTCAAAGGCTTATGCTTATGATTCTCTGGCTCTCTTGAGTCATTTTCTAGCTTTCATTTTGACTTGCATTTCTATCTTCTTGGATGTGAATGCGATGGACAAAGTTCAGCCCAGCCTCAAAAAATGCCCTGTCCTGGTCTTGCTCTCCTCGCCTCCCCTTTTAACCTCTCCGCTGTCCTGTTTCCTTCTGCATCTCAGAGCTCCGCTCTGTTATCCAACTGCTCAGAGGCTCCTCTGGGAAACCACCATGCCTGGGGGGGATGGGGTTGGGGACAGGGACATTTAAGAAGCCCGCTCTGCAACTGCAATAGCCAGAAGGTCCTCAGACTACAGAGAATGCGCACTGTTTGGGCACCTCTGTGTGCTGGGGCCACTGGTCCCTCAAGAACATGGCTGATATCTGGCTCCTAAACTGCTTGCTGCTGGCACACCTGACCTCTCTGCCTCTTGATCTCACATAGGAAGGGACTTCCTCTGAGGCTACTCCAAGGGCAGGTGGATATTCCTTAGATGTGCTGCCCACTTGGTGGCCATAACTATGATCAAAATTCAGGCAGCACCAACATCCAGCACAGCTGCTCCAAAGACCCCAGCTTACCCCTGTTTAGCCATCCTGCCTGCCACTTTGGGGGCTCTCGCTCTTATGCATTAGGCAATGCATAAGCACCTGACCTATACACAACCTCCTGTCATCCTCCCAGTGGCCACATCACTCTGAAGGTGAGGAAACTGAGACGCAGGCAGCTGGGTTTAGGGCTGGCACATCCATCTCAGTAAGTGACAATGAGACTTAGTGGTGGACCTGCTGCCAACAGAAGGGTCTCCAAAGGGGAATTAGGCTGGGCATTTGGAACAGCTCCTGTCTGCCATCGGGCCCTGGAGCTGGTTGTCATTCAGGGGAGCTGGCTGCTCAGAGCTGCAGCTGCAACAAAGCCAGTTCAAGTTGCAGCTGGGCTCCACTTTGCAGCCCCCGCAGAGCCAAGGGGCTGCCTAGACCAGCTGATACTTTGCAAAGAAGGTGAGAAACTGAGTGTTTTTAAGTTCATAAAATAAAGAGCTAGAACTTTCCATGGCCCTGACAAAGGATGAAGAAGAAGCCCATGTCTATGATGTGACCAAAAGCCAAATCTTGCAGAACAGGCCAAACCATAGTTGGCCACCTCACAGTGCACACATAGGAACAGTCAGTGCCTGGCCAGGTGCCAGGAGGCCACAGGGCTGGTGCTCAGTGAACATGGCCATATGAGTGGGCCTGGCTCCCTAGGGCTGCTCTGGCTGACCTGTCCTCACGCAGGGCTAGCCTCTGGCCTCTTGAGAAATGACAGGGAAATGAGACAAGACCTTGTAGTAGTCAAATGCCAGCTGAAAGGGGGCGTTGAGGGATGGGTACAGCCAGGTATTTGGGAGAGCAGTTGGGAGTGACCTGGCAGGACTTTGACTGGACAGTGATTTAGCAGGTCAGTACATCCCCTCAGGCCTTCCTCAGCCACTGGGCAGCTCCACAGGGCTTACGGTTATGTATGGACATATGAGTAGGGAGAGGGTATAGGCTGTGGCCCCCTTGCTTCATGGGGGTTCTAGGACACCTCTGAGAGCATCTCCCTGGTGGCCTTCCTTGTACAGGGCAGGATGGCCTGGGAGGTCCTGGGAGCCAAACTCCTGCCACCCCATCCTGCACACATGGGATCATCCTTCTGAAGAAGATGAACTGTACAGGAACTGGGCTTCAACATCACAGGGCCAGATTTTAAAAAGCACCTCTTACCGGAACCCCGGAACCCCGGAACCCCGGCAGGTTGTAGGACTGTTTTTGCAAAGCAGCCCAAACGGAGGATTTGAGGCCTCCTTGCGCTGACCTTAAAGAGACAGCAAAGGGTTTGCACTGCCAGCCATGAGCTGGAGGAGCCTGCCTTCAGGCCCACACAAGGGCCTGTTGTTCCCCGAATCAATTGGGGCCGATGTGGGGTCACAATGAGGCCTTTCAAAGAGACAAAGCGCCTCTGGGCAGGCAAAATGTCCCTGCACACGTGGGCATCCGCCCAGGGCATTTAAAATAGTGCGATTTGGAAAAACAGATTTAAAGTGATTGCCCCCACTCTCTGCGTGATTCAATGGCCTTTGTTCTGTCTCATTATACTCGATCATGGAAGCTTCTAAGGGTTGGGGCACTGGAGGCAGACACTGGGGTTCCTAGCTATGACTTCTCTCTTCTTTCATAGGTAACTGGGGATAATCACAGTGCCAGGCTGTCTAGAAGCCACCAGAGAGGTTTGATCCATGCAGGGTGCTTAGGTGCCAGAACACACTTGCCAGAAGTCTGTTAGTAGGCAGACCCCCAGGGACATGGAGGGCAAGCTGATTGCCAGTCCACTGGAGGCTGGGTGCTGCTCCAAGCACTTAATCTTTTGGCAACCGTATATGGTAGTTACCACTTAGAGAAGTTAAATGATTTACCCAAAGTCACACAGCAAGTAGGCGAGGATTCTAGTTCCAACAGAGCAACTCCGGCACCCTGAGGTTAACTCTCATACCCCTGTCACCATGAAAGGATCCCTGTCCCTCTGGGAGCAGGGGCCACAGACATACCAAGAAGCCCTTCGTACCCACTGATATCACCTCACCCATGCTGAAGGCTCCAGTTGGCACTGGATAGGTGTTGGGGAAACCCAGCCAGGGGTCCAGCCTGGGGAGTGTGTCTGAGACAAGGAAGACTATGCCAGGGAAAGAAGTCAGCAAGTGCTTCATTGGCAGGGCAAGGATGATCAGGACCAGATGTATGTCGGGTACAGGAGGAGGGTCTCGGGAAGTTAGAGTGCCGAGGGCACTCCTGAGACAGAGCAGCAGTTTGGCTTTCACCTGAGGGGAAGCCCTGCAGGCCTGCACATCTGTCCAGCTAAGAGACACTGTAGGGATGGTGGCAGGGTGGGGGTGGGCAGGAAGAGGGACATACTTGACTAGCTTTGGTGAACAAAGGGCTGGTGGAAGGGAGTGGCCAAGGGCATGGATCCCTGAGCCAGCCTGCCTGTGGCCCCCGGCAGCCCCAGTTCCCTTGTCTGCCAAATGGCAACGTCAATCCGGCCTCCACAGATCATTGGTGGGATTTGATGACTTGGTTCAGGTAAACCCCTGTGACCAGGGAAGGCTTAGAACGTATCAGCTGCAGATATCATTATGAAACAAGAAAGTTTCTAGAATGATCCTGAAGTTTCTAGCCTGGGGAGATGACAGTTGTTCGCAGTGTACTTACTCATT